AAACTTATTGATTTGGAGTGAAGTCCAGCCAGAAGTAATGCAAAACCTACCAATGCATCCAGAAAAAGTTTGGTGAGATGTATTGGCTGATGACATCATTGGAATGTATTTTTTCATTAAATGCCGTCAATCGTAACGTAACTGGAAAAGATAAACGCTACCGTGAGATGAAATCCAAATTTGGACTATGGTTTTACCTTTACACTGAATTTAATATTAGAATCTGAAAAGAAGAAATCCATTAGGACGGTCGTCGAAAATGTCGATAAAATCAGCGAAACAATCGAAGTTGACCGGCATGTTAGCAGTTGTAACATCGCCCAGAAGCTAAAAATCTACCATAAAACTGATTTAAACCATTTACATAAAGCTGGAATCAAAAAAAAAGCTCGATATTTGGGTGTCATACCAATAGAATGTGAAAAAATAGGATGAATCGAATTTCCATCTGCGAAGCCTTTGTAAAACGGAATGAGATATACCCATTTCATAAACGGATGGTGACTGGATATGAGAAATGGCTCACATACGATAACCTTGGACGAAAACGATCTTGGTCAAAGAGCGGTGAAGTACCTCAAACGGTGGCAAAACCAGGACTAACGGCCTGTAAGTTCGGCTATGTATTTGGTGGGACTGGAAGCGAATTATTTATTATGAGTTGCTTCCATATAGCAAAACGCTAAATTCTGATCTCTACTGTCAACAACTGGACCGTTTGAAGATAGCAATTGACCAGAAATTGACCAATGGGAGAGGTGTCGTGTTCCATCAGGACAACACTAGGCCACACACATCTACACCATCTGACTCGCCAGAAACTTCGGGACCTTGGTTGGGAAATTTTAATGCATTCGCCATACAGTCCGGACTTTGCACAAAGCGATTATCATATTTTTCTTGCATTGTAAAATTTTTTTTAATGATATAAATTGGTATCTAGGGGATTGTAAAAATCTCTACTAGAGTTTTTTTTCCAAATAAAAAAAGGACTTTTATGAGAGGCAGATGCCAAAAAATCATGCAACAAAACGGTGCATATTTGGTCCAAATCGGACATTCCGAACATGCTATAGTCCTATAGTTCATATAAAAATAAAGGATTCTTTTTCCCCAACCTAATACATATATACATATTCTCAGTTCGATTGAAATATTTTGTAACTGATTTAATGGAAGAAGTTCATTATGTTCAATTGTTTTTTACAGTGATTGTGTTAAATGATATACATTTCATTCATAGACATCACAAATGCATTAATTTATTAAAAAAATATAAGCATAAACGTTCGAAAATTAAAAAAATTCAGATCAAAACTCAAGAGGACTGGAATCCGTGTAAAGATCTTATAAAAATGTACCGAAGAGACGTAACAACAAATATGCAATTGAAAAATAAATGTTATTCAATAAAAATATATAAGCCTTATGTAATATATTGGGAGAATGTGTGATTTACACTCAAAGGAACTGTTTATTGTTTTTATTTAATAAAAAGTAAAAAAAGTCACTTCTCAGAAGCGACGTGCTATTTTTTATGATACTTTTTGTGATACCTTTTGAGCTTTTTTTTAGCGGTCACGCTGGACACCAGTGCAATAGACGTTGTGTTATGAACTAATCGATTAATAATATCACGGGCGTTATTACACTATTTGATAAATGCAATCACGTGATCCGATAACATTTTGAATTACAATCCGAATAATTGTAACCACAATTAAATGAAACATTTTTTATTGGAATGTTTTGGTACAAAACAACCTTTGAATATCAACTCATTGAGGAGCAAAATTCACCCCGGCAAAATTTCATAACATCTGCATGTTGTAATAGTAACATTTAACCATATAATTACATGCAGAGCTCTTTAGAATTATAAGTTTATCTGCCAGATATTAAATTAAAGGCTAACATACCACTTTCGTATCCTGGTTACTATTCCGGATCATGTCTTTCCGAAGTCAACATATTCCTTGACAAGATTCCCTTCGCCGTGTAATATTTGGTCATGTTGGAGTCATAATTGTGAAACGACCAGAAAAATCAACATAAATACTTTGGTACATTCGACTCCCTAATTGTATTAAACAAACACTATTAAAAACTGTAGGTTCCAGAACGGAATTTACTAGAAACACTTTATGACAACAGGTTCATAACAGTGAGCTGTAGTTTGATTAGAAAATAGACAAACGGATGGATAAACATGTCTAGATCTACTCCCAAATTCGATATATAACAGTTGGTAGGCCTAGGACAAATATTTTTGACGATACAAATTCTTGGGACCACACCAACCTATAATTCCTCGCAAAGTAGTCATCATAGTTTGTTAAATTCATGTCATCAGAGTTTGTTTCGCGTTTTTTTTTTTTTTTTTTTTTTTTTTTTTGAAAAAAAATTTGGATTACCTATTGATCTAAATGGAAAAATAAATTATCTTTCTCCTGATTATAGTTAGAATCTATGACTAATTACTTTTCATTCAGTTTTAATTTTTTCTAAAAATTTTGTTTTTTTGATACTTTTTTCAATGAACTGTCACTTGCCACATGATTATACTTTAATTAGAACCGAATGAAAAAATATGTATTGAATTAAATAGAGAACAAATTATCTTCCACCTACATGTATAAAGCCCGTTCAGATGTTTACTTTTCATTTTATCATTTTCACCTCGTCTGAATAATTTAGAAATTTTTATATATATATATATTTTTTTTCATTCTGCCAAAGTCAATTTTTTTGATAAATTCTCTCATTTTTAGGAATGGTCCCATCGTTCGCTGTATGGAGGGAAGTGCCAAGTTACAACTACAAACTTTCTATCAAGAGTAGGGGAGACTGGGGCACCTTCGGCATCGGGGCACCTTCGGCAATCGCGTTTTCGATATGAAGCTCTCATCGTACATCACTAGTTTCGATACATTGGCATCTAATATCGAAATAAATAACTGACACAAATTTTGAAACTTCTAGCTAATAAGCTTATGTAGATACATAGGTTTTTGTATTTTTATAGATGTTTCTGTAATATTTCAATTCCATTTCGTAAGTATTTCGTGATAAAACTTTTAAATTTTTTAAGACAATATTATTAAAAAGTGGTTAACTACGATGTGTATTATTATAGAAATATTTAAAAATATAATTTTTTACAAAACTGATCGAAAAAAAGTGAAAAAAACTATAAAAAGTACATTCGGGGTACATTCGGCATTTTAAAGTGGGGCTCATTCGGCCATATACAGATTGTGCAATATTATTTCCTTAAAATATTTTTGAGTTTGTCTTTAAAACTAATCCTTTAATGTGGCTCGAAATTGCATATATAAGATCAAACGTGATTTTATTGACGAAAATGCGATAGAAACCCCCTATTTCTGATGGTGTGTGCGACCTTGAGATGTAAACGTCCGCCGCTAGAAAACATAGCCCTAAAATTCAAACATTGTGTGACGTATTAAAACCAAATAGAGCCTTTAGAGGATCAGAATTTCAACCAGACTGATAGCGATGACAATTATGCGGCTATGACTATGGTGCCGAATGTGCCCCATCAAATGCCGAAGCTACTGTATTTTTTAATTAATACTATTTTTTTATATCTTTTTGGTACTATTTTTTATAATTAAGTGTCAGAGGACAATAATCAGCCATAAAGTTGTTATATATGTTGAATAAGTACTGAGATATAGAGCTCTAAAAAAAAAGTGCCGAACTTTCTATCAAGAGTATATACCTTATTTGGAAAACCAGTAAGAATATTTTCCTATCGAAGTCATTTTCTTTTAACACTTTTTTAATTACGAGAACAGAACAATACTGTCAGACCCAGCAGCAATATCTCATTTAAATACGCACTTTATGATGTGGATTTACGAAATTAAGGTTATTTATATTATTATTTCTTATTTTCAACGAAAAACTAAAATAAATTCTATTAATTTAATAGAAATGAAGTGCTTGTTTTGATAAGCAAATTTAATATGTTGCCACTCCGCCAAACACATAACATCGATAGCACAACTATCGCTGTTATCGAAAACGTCATCGGTTTGTTTTTTTTTTGCAAATCTAGTCTACCGGCTGCAAAGTTTTTTTTCTGTGCAAATTATTCAAGAGATTGGCTGGCAGGCAACAAGTTATATTTTTATTAGACGAAAGTTTTAGTTTTTGTTGTAATTTTATTTTGTTAATTAATCTATATTTTAGTTAATATATCTATTTAAATAACAAACTTCCTAGCCAACACTTGTTTGGTCTAAAAGAACGAAACGAGAAAAAAAAATAAATCAGTGATTCCAATCAAAAAATGTCGGCTACACGTATTCTTGGTGCAGTGGGACAACTGTCGCGGAGGCAATTCATGCAAAACAGATGCAATCGTTGTAAGTAAAACCAAGTGGATCAGAGACTAATTAATTTGTTGGGTTATTAATAATTCCAATCGATTTTTAAAAGAGCTTTATTATTTTGTTTGAGTGTTTGAATATTTGTTTTAATTTGCAAACAATTTGACAATGACGGCAGTCCACAAACTGGACTTTGAACTTTGTACCATAATAGCTGGTATGGCAGTCAGTCACACATATAAACATTGATATGTATGTATGAGCGTGTGTATATTTAATCACCGTTGTCATTATTATCAGTATTATTTTTTTGGGACTAGTTGCGATTTTGTTGTTACATTTTCGGAAAAGGGGTCCAAAGTATTGCAATTTTGAAGTGTTTTACGTATTTGGGTTAATCATAAGTTTTGTTTTATAGTTGTTGGCCGATTTTGAAAACGAATGATAAGATTTACAATTATGTTTTAAAAATGTGCAAACATTTTTTTCTTTGTTTGTCGAAATTATATATGTATGAATTGGCCAGTGTTTATGCAATAAACAAATTGTTTGGAAATTAAAACAAAACATTATAAACAATTAAAATTTTAATGTCCCTTAATTTAATAATGACTATTAATTTATTTTTTTAGTTGCCATCCAAAACATTAGGATGATGTCTGCCGCCGCCATCCAAACGAAAAATCTTCGCACCAAGGTTGTTGATGGTGTCCTCGTGGTAACATTGGATACCCCCAATGCCAAAGTCAATTCTTTGGGTGAAACCCTAAGCCAAGAATTCGAGCAGGTCTTGAAGGAATTGGAAACCAATGCCCAAGTTAATTCTGCCGTTTTAATATCCGCCAAGCCTGGTTGTTTTGTAGCCGGTGCTGATATTGGTATGCTGGAGAAATGCCAAACAGCTGCTGAAGCCACAAAAATCTCTCAAGAGGCCCAATGGATGTTTGAACGTATGGAAAAAAGTCGTAAACCCATTGTGGCTGCCATTAATGGTGTCTGCTTGGGTGGTGGTTTGGAGTTGGCTTTGGCCTGCCATTATCGCATTGCCACTAAGGATAAGAAAACCAAATTGGGTTTGCCCGAGGTTATGTTGGGTCTTTTGCCCGGTGGTGGTGGTACTGTACGTTTGCCAAAATTGGCTGGTGTTCCCACGGCCTTGGATTTGGAATTGACTGGTAAACAATTGCCTGCTGAGCGTGCCAAACGTGCCGGTATTGTTGATTTGCTAGTTAGCCCATTGGGTCCCGGTTTGGGCCCAGCTGATCAACAGACCATTCAATATTTGGAAAAGGTAGCTGTTCAGGTGGCCAACGATATTGTTAGCGGTAAAATAAAGGTGAGTCATAAAATAAATTCTGATTAAATTTGAAGGTAATGAATTTTGGATGCAAAGGATTCCGTATAGCTTTGGAATGTGTAAAAATTTTGAAAAGATACAAAACCCCATTTCAAAACATACGATGAAATGGAAAATGAAAGCACAAAATTGCATATAGAATAAATTTGGAGAAGGGTAGGCCTTGGACTGCATAAAAATCAACGCATAGAATAGTCTCCCATGTAGACTGCATTCCAGATCTAAAATATGCCTAAGAACTTGTTGAATATGAAAAATCCTGGACCCCCATATGTTCTGATAACAAGGAAATAGGCCAAACCTAAAAATTAAGAGCGTTTTCGGGAGTTTGGAACTTCGATCAAAACAAGACATTTAAAAAATATTTTTTGAAAAAAAAATTCTTTGAAGGACTACCAAATCGTGGTATTTTTGAAGAACCAATAATCTTTTAGGAGGTATCAAAACGTGAATTTAAAAAATCTATGGACTATCAATGCGTGGATTAAAAAAAAAAAAAATAAAAACTATTAAAGCGTGATTTTTAAAAAAATATATTTTTTAAGAATTCAAAGCGAGGATTTAAAAACAAATGCAAACTCAAAGGCCTTCATATGGAAGACCAAAAGGGGCTCCCTTTAAAAAAAATACCAACCAAAATGACTTCCTTGAGGCGACCAAATGGACTTCTCTTAGAAGGCCAAAAAGTTATTATTTTAGAAGATCTAAAGGTCTTCTTTTACAAGACCTTAATGTCTTATTTTAAAATACCAAAGTGAATACCCAGCCAGTAGAATAACAAAATTAAGACTTCATATAGAATACTAAAATCACTTAATAATTAAGGACCCAAAGTTCTTCCTGTATGATAAACAAATTTCTTAAAAAAATATTGTCTCTTTATACTAATTTCTTGTTACTCTAATTTCCTTTCATCATCATTATTTTTCTTTTTCAGATCAACCGCGAAAAGAGTGGCCTGGTCAACAAACTAACCGCCATGGTTATGGACACCGATTTTGTTAAGAACAAAATTTTCGATACTGCCCGTAAACAGGTTATGAAAATGACCAACGGCCTCTACCCAGCTCCATTGAAAATTCTCGAAGTTATTCGCACCGGTGTGGACAAAGGATCTGAGGCTGGTTATGCCGCTGAACGTGAAGGTTTCGGTTATCTATCGGCCACTCCTGAATCCAAGGGCCTGATTGCCTTGTTCCGTGGTCAAACTGAATGTAAAAAGAATCGTTTTGGTAAACCCGAAAAAGAAGTCAAGACATTGGGTGTTTTGGGTGCTGGCCTTATGGGTGCCGGTATTGTTCAAGTTACCGTCGATAAGGGTGTTAAGGTGGTAATGAAAGATGCCACTGAAGCTGGTTTGTCGCGTGGTATTGGCCAAGTGCAAAAGGGTTTGGAGACGGCTGTTAAACGTAAACGTATCTCGGGTTTGGAACGCGATAAGACTTTGTCCAATTTGTTACCCACATTGGATTATAATGAATTCAAAAATGCCGATATGGTTATTGAGGCTGTCTTCGAGGATATTAAGATTAAGCACCGTGTCATCCAAGAATTGGAGGCTGTGGTGCCCAAACATTGTGTTATTGCCACAAATACCAGTGCCATTCCTATTACCAAAATTGCTGCTGGTAGTTCAAGGCCTGAAAAGGTTGTGGGTATGCACTACTTCTCACCCGTTGATAAAATGCAATTGTTGGAAATTATAACCCACCCCGGTACCTCACAAGACACCATTGCCTCGGCTGTTGCCATGGGTTTGAAACAGGGTAAGGTGGTGATTACTGTTGGTGATGGTCCTGGTTTCTATACTACACGCATCTTGGCCACTATGTTGTCCGAGGCTATTCGGTAAGTAGTTAAAGTATAGCGTTGAAAAAAAAGTATTTTAATGGAATATATTTTGTTTGTAGTCTCTTGCAAGAAGGTGTTGACCCCAAGGAATTGGATGCTCTCTCCAAGAAATTCGGTTTCCCCGTGGGCGCTGCCACCTTGGCCGATGAAGTTGGTATTGATGTTGGCTCCCACATTGCTGTTGACTTGTCGAAATCCTTTGGCGAACGCTTCAGCGGTGGCAACTTGCAGGTTATGCAAGACATGGTCTTGGCTGGTTTCCTTGGACGTAAATCAGGCAAAGGCATTTTCATGTATGACAGCCAAACCAAGGGCAGCCGTCCCGTCAACATTGAAGCCTTGGAGATTTTGAAACAAAAGTATGCTTTGGCTTCCAAGGGTGCCAACACTCCCGAAGATATGACCTTGCGTATGGTTTCACGTTTCGTAAATGAGGCTGTTCTCTGTTTGGAAGAGAAGATTTTGCACAACCCATTGGAGGGTGATGTTGGTGCCGTTTTCGGTCTTGGCTTCCCACCATTCAGCGGTGGCCCATTCCGTTGGGTTGATCACTTCACTGCCACCAAATTGGTTGACAAAATGAATTCGTATGCTGACCTCTATGGAGCTCCCTTCAAGCCAGCTCAAACATTGGTCGATATGGCCAAGGATCCATCCAAGAAATTCTATCCTCAAAATACTTCGAAATTGTAAACTAAACAAAAAAAATTAGACTAGGTTACTTAATTGCTAAGTTAAAAGAAAGTCACGTCATGCCTTGTGCTGCAGTGTTTTGAACACTTAAGTATTTATTCAAAGCTCCGCTTCTATCCTCTCTCCCAACTGCAGACAATTTCTCCAAGTGCCTAGCATTTGAATGGAAACTGTTGGCGGTTGTTGCATTTAAATCCTTCTATTGTTTTTGTATTATAAATGCCAAAATTATCGAAAAAATATATTTTTTTTTTAAAATCCACTCATTCGTAAAAATAATTTTCTTTTAATGTTCTCTTTTCATTATTATGTTTTATTTTTGTTTTCACACATCTTTTAGACTGAAATCATAATAATCGTTACAATAATGATAATAATAATATTTAATAATAGTATAATAATAAAAATAACAACAAATTTTCTTTGATAATGCATTACAACACACATCGATTGTGTAGCAGTAGTATAGGTGTACGTGGGGCGTATGATTGGTTGTTGTTGTCATCTCTTGAGCAACATAGTTCCTTTTTGTATAATTTCTATTACAATTATTTTTAAAAATTTAGACTAAATTTTATTTGATTAGATTAAGAATTGACAGGCTGACCCCGCCCGCCTATCAGACCCACGGCCCGCCGGCCCACCTTATTTGTGCCAATCTCCTCGTGAGGAATTTCGCCGCGATTTGCTACTCGCATTGGGTGTGGTTTGACTAGTCACATTATTGTTACTTGTGTTGTTAATGTTGGCATTATTTGTACTACTTCGTTCCAAGGGATATCGTTCCACCACATCATCGATTAGCTCTAGGATACCAATTTTTAATTTACGCTTTTGATGTGGCGTCAATGCCGCAATATCCGGCAATATGCTACGAAAGAATTCCATATCGGCCTGTTCCCCCGCATACATATGCAGCTGCGCCGTGGTTGTGGCCTCACTGGCATGGCACTCGGTTTTGATGCGTTTTGGTTCGTGCAAAAAATCATGATGAGATGAATCTCGACGAATATTTGCATTCACATAGTCGTGGACCACTCCATCGGGTGTTCGCAACTCCGATAGCTGGACATCAGGTATAAAATTTTGCATTGTATTGGCGCTGGCTGTATCGCTGAGAGGTGGTGAGTTGGGATTTTGTTGCATATGTAGATTGGCTGTTATGGCCGGATCAAAAGCATCAATGGTCTCTTCATCTTCATTATCGGAGAGAGAATGTTTCACCTCCAGCCCATGATGTTCTTTGTAGTTTAGTTGTTGTGGTGGCACCATTACCTGCAGGGTGGTTGAAATGGAATTGTTTTGTTGTTGTTGCTGCTGTTGTTGCAATTGTTGTTGTTGCTGGGAATATTGATAAAGTGTGGCGAGGCTACTATTGCCATCGAGCGAATTTCTGGTGGTCTTTAGGAAAGGCAATAGAAATGCCATGTGTTCGGTTAGATAATAGGGTTTGTGTTGAGGATCATTACCGCTTTGCTGTTTGATGTAGCGGGAGAGACAGGCTCGTAAATTACGCCAGCGTTCTTTACAGTGAATGACTGAAATGAAGGGGGAGGGGAAATGATTAGAAAGGTGTTAAATAAACGGTATACTAATATGAAGAAGGGAAAGGGATATCCAAGTGTCTTTTATCATATGGAGAACCGAACAATCTTCCATCAAACAGAAGAGCAAAGGTCTTCTGCCGTATAGCGTATTTTAATATATAGAAGACTCAAGGGTCTTTTATCCAATAGAAGACCAATTGATCTTCTATCATATAGAAGACCAAAGGGTCTTCTATCACAAAGAAGACCAAAGGGTCATCTATACTATAGAAGAACAAAGGGTCATCTATAATATAGAAGACCAAAGGGTCTTCTACCCCATAGAAGACCAAGGGGTCTTTTATCCCATGGAAGACCAAAGGGACTTCTTTTATTCAATCCTATAGAAGACCAACGGATCTTCTATCATACAGAAGACCAAAGGGTCTTCTATCACAAAGAAGACCAAAGGGTCATCTATACTATATCATCTATACTATCATACAGAGGACCAAAGAGTATTCTATCATATAGAAGACCAAAGGGTCTCCTATAATATAGAAGACCAAAGGGTCTTCTATCCTATAGAAGACCAAAGGGTCTTCTATCGTATAGAAGACCAAAGGGTCCTCTATCGCATAGAAGACCAAAGGGTCCTCTATCGCATAGAAGACCAAAGGGTCTTCTATCCCAGAGAAGACCAAAGGATCTTCTACAGAATAGAATACCAAAGGGCCTTCTATCATTTAGAAGACCAAATTACTTCTCCAAATATCCTCCTCTTCTGAAGGCAATTCTATATCGTTTTTCTCTCTTCCCCTTCTCTTTTCCCTTAACACTTACCACTCTCTTTGGTCTCCAATGATATTTGATACCATGCCTTCTCCTGATTATCACGATTACGATATTCCGGAACTTTTTTGTCATACAAACACTTATGATTACGAACAAGGTTCACAAAGCGAATATTAAAATCTTCATCGGTTTGCATGGTCCGAGTGAAATTTCCCGGTGTCAGTGAGGGTGCTGGATGATTGAGTATGGGAGTAATGGTGACAGCCCTCTGTGGCAGAATATTGGGCGGAGTAGTGATGGTTATTTCATTTTTGGCCGTTGTGGTTGCTGCTGCTGTTACCGATGATGTTGTGGCAGCCAGTGTTGTTGATTGTGGCATGCTGTTGCAATTTGTGTTCTCCTTGTTGTTAGTGTTGTTACTGCTGGGTGTTTTATTATCCGCAGTGTTGTTGTTGGTTGTAGAAACAACGTTGTTGTTGGTGGTGATGGTGTTGTTGTTACTGCTGGTGTTGGTATTATTGCTGTCGGCGGTGACTGTTGCTGCTTTGGTTGTGCTGTTGCTGTTACTACTACTATTAGAGGCTGCAGGAACCGATGTTGTAGTGGTCATTGTTATTTCAAAATAATCCACAAAAGTTTTACTTTTTTTATTATATTTTTTCTTTACTGTCTACCACTCAAGAATTTCAAATCTCGTATCTCTGTTTCTTTTTTTTTATTTTTTTCACAAATGTTTGTTGACTCTGGTGCTGGGGCCAGCCTTCCTAATGGCGGGCAATATGTTAGTTAGAGAGTTTCTTTGTAGCTGCTAACTTGCTTTGGCGATTGTGTAACAAAATAACTGAAATAACAAAAACAACAAAATATGAAGAAAAAACAACATTTTTTTTAGTTACTGTCTGTCAGCGGACAAAAGCCTGGCAGCAGCAACAACAAAAAACAACGACAGCGAGCTGGTTCATTTAATACATTTATTTTAACATAATTCAAAACAAACAACAAGTTTGTGTTTACTTGTCTTTGTCGTCACCGTCGTTCATATCTCGTGGATCTATTCACAATGTAGGGTCGGATGTGTGTATCTATGTGTGTTTGCTTGTCCGCGCTTTTCTAACAACATTTTTTTCTAGTGTTGTTGTTTCTCACTGACAACAACAACAACAACAATGTACAAAACAACTGGAGCCTAGCCATTCTTGTACACCTGTCGTCGTCTCTGTTGTGTTTCTCAGAAAAGCTCTGTTGTTTGTTTTAATTCGCTCAAAACTAGTGAGAGAGAGAAAGTGTCAATTGTATGCTGTTGCCTGAATTAAGCTGAGGTAAATAGACAGCATTGCAGAGATGGGAGTGGTGAATTGAATGGAAATATGAATTTTAAAGAAATATTAGTTTGGGGAAAAACTAATAAAAATTCATTATTTTTTGGGCAGACGGCTGTACTGATAGAAATTTTTGGTGTTAAAGATGCACCTCGCAGCGGTCGTCTAAAAAGGTCGACAAAATCGGAGAGATTATCGAAGTTGACCGGCATTGGCAGTCGTAACATCGCCTAGGAGCTAAAATCTACCATAAATGTTTTAAACCATTTACAAAAAAATAATGGATTTCTTTTTCCCCAGCCGACAACGGTATGTTCCCCGGATACCTCTGAAATTTTTAACTACCCATTGACAGCCAGTCAAATAATACGATTAAATGTCATAATAAAAATGTTCCCAAATTTTTCAAATTATGATCTAGATAGATCATCTTACTTAAAGCATCACATTGAGATATACCGGGCGTCGACTATACTAGCGATGTCCGTGCAAAATTTCAAATCTTTATAACGGAGCGCATACTAAATCAAGGATCATTTTTAAATCTCCTTTATCGACCAGAAGGCTTAACGATTTTTATTCAACTTTTATTTAGAACCGATTGGATTAAAACGTTTATATTTTTTCTACGCTGAGAACCAGGGGCGCTACACTAACTATTATTAATACTTGTAAATATCCCCCTGTTGCGCCAATTATTTATTTGTAGTCGTAATTATATATATAATTTATATTATTTCAAATTTATATTATTTTGTACCCTATTTTAATTTTAAATACATATTTCCATTGAATATCAACAATTCTAATTTCCCATCTCTGACTGTATCCAATAAGAAACTGATGAGGCGGCAAATCAATGAGAATAACATTCCTCACGTGAGAAACAACATCGAACTTTCTCCAACTGAGAATCTAAAAATGACTTGCTCAATATGAGAGCGCCAACACACCTAAAGGTGATGGGGGGAAAACAGTTTCATTTGTTTATATTACGATGTCTCTCTCCCGCCTAAAAAGTGCTCTTATCACAACAAATCATGTTCGTATGTGTGAGTGGAGAAGTAATGTCAAAGGGGGGCTGGGGGATGTTTGTAACACCACACAAAACAAGTGGGAAATCTTGGTGGTTCTTTGTAACTATTTAACACCCAACAAAACAACAACAGCAAGCAAAGCTTTTAAACATTGTTGACAAAAGCTCTTCCTTGTCCGAAAGAAAAACAAAACAATGCTGAAAATGACGACGGCGGCGACGACGTCGTCCCCCACCGCTGCTGCAAATGGTGTGGTTTTGGTACGATGGGCCGCTGGCTCGCTCGTCTGACAAGTTAACTTAAAAATGACAAACAAAATACGTCGTACGTTCCTTCGTTCGTTCATTCGAATGTTGTATTGTTTTGATGAAGATGAGACGACGACGACGACATCGTATGCACATTGTTGTTGTTTGTTGACAGAGAGACGGACTCTTTTGGTTAAATGTTAAGGTGCCGTGGAGGGGTTCTCTTACTAAATTGCGGGACGCAAGATGAGATTATTATTTCAATGGTGTGTATGGCTATTTATGTGTGTGTCGTTCGTACGTTTTCTTTGCTTGCTGGTTTAGGTTACGTTTCTTTGGCGCGCTGTGTGTTTATGTTTTGTTGTTGTACAAATTGACAAAACAAGGTGGGAGGGATGGGTGGTATGGTTAGGTTAATGTTATTTTAGAATGAATTTTGGTATGTAATGTGGTTGCTTACAACTGTCTGTTGTTGTTGTGTTTGCCATTCTTTTTGCTCTGTTTATCTGTTGTGTGGAATTTTCGCGTTCTCTGTCAGCGTCGTCATTCACTTTACTCTGAGATGCTGTGTTTCTGCCGCTCTTATTTGCTTGACCACCATCCATTGTTGTGTTATTTTGGGTTGTTGGTCGGTCGCTGTTTTGTCATTGTCGTCCAAAGAACCAACGAACTATTAACATACATTCAAACACACACATACACAAATACAAATGTAGATGATAATAATAAAACGAATGAACGAACCAAGCAACCAACCAACGAACAACAAAAGCAACTACACAGCGACAGAAGAGTGTAAATACGACAACAAAACACAAATATCTGTATCTGCTATAGCTCTGGCTGTTGTTGTTGTTGCTATTGTCGTCACACTCGTTGTTGGTGTTGTTGTTGTTCTTGTCAGTGAATAGTCAATGTTGTTGTAGTTGTTGCTGGTGCTGCTGCTGTTATTGTAAACACTGTTTGCTTGCCTACCAACCAGCCAGCCAGCCTGCTTGTTGTTCGTTTTCTAGCAAGCTGGCTGGCTAGGTTGTCTCCTTTGTCCGTCCGTCATCGACGTCGTCCCCCAACAACTCAGCCCGCCACCCTAACCTATCTTTAACTATTGTTTTTGTTATACTTGTGTGCTTATGCTTGCTGTTGATGACTGTAGCTGTTGTTCTTGCTGCTGTTGTTGGTGTTATTATTGTTGTTTTCCACACACAGTTTTAGTTATCTATACTTTTGTAAAACACACAATTTTTCTTCTTCTTAATTTTATCGCAAAAGTTTGATCTGTTCTTGTCATTGTTGTTGCTGCTGGTGATGTTTGCTATTGTTGTGGTTTTTTTATGTTAAAAAATTGTTGTTTTGTATTTTTAATTTTTTTTTATGTTATTTTAATTTAATTTCTAAACGTATGTTTTATTAACCAACAAATAATCACATGAACACGAACACACACGAAATGACGTACAACACTGTTTTATTATTTTTTTCAAAACAACACTGACCGTTTTGTTTACCTTTCTGAAGAGAAAAAAATTCCGTTTCTTTAAATTTGAATGGAAAAAATCGCGAACATTTTTCCGTTGCTGCTGCTACTGTTTCTGTTGCTTGAACTCCGCGCGCCGTTGTCAAAAATATTCGAGCAATATCTACGTCTTCACTCAACAGTCAACTGCCATCAAATAGACGTCAATGTTCATGTCGTCTCTGGCTGGCTGTTACGTCGTGTGTGTTAGATGTTTGCTTGCCTTGCTCTGGTCTGCTCTCCTCTCTTGACTTCCTTGTATTTGGGGGGTTTATTTGTTATGTATTTTGTGTGTCTATTATTTGTTTTTTTCAATTCATTCTTCCCCAACTTTATTTGTTTAACACAAATTTAGATGTGTGGTTTGCTGTCGTTGTTGTTTTCATTTATTCGTTGTTGTTGTTGCTGTTATTATTATTGAACATATTCATATGTTTGTTAGCAGCACTCACAAAAGACACAACACAGAAAGAAATAGAAAGACAACCAACCAGTAGTTGTTGTAGTTTCTTCTTTCCAATGACAGACAGAACAACTGGCGCGAGCGCTCTTTACAAAATGACAAATGTTTTCCGTATCAGGCAACAAATTCAACTAACAAAGCACACAGAACAAACGAACACAAACAGCTTATGTGCCTCCTCGCCATCAACATCATCATTGCCGTCGCCGTCGACGTCGTTGCCGTTGTTGTCGTAACAACAATAACAACAGAAGCAGAAAAATTCATGCACATACGCAGCAGCACACACAACTAAACGAGAGTACCTTTCGTAGGAACTGTATTTATCACACAATATAGAGGCGCACACACACACGCACGCACACTCACTCACGACAAACGAACAACTTTCAGTGAACATTTTTCGTCTTATCGGCAAAACTCAGTCAGAGCCAGCCAGCTCACATAAAACAAACAACAGCATATGCCTCTCACACTGCGTGGCCTCCTCTCCCCCACACACACTCAGAGCAACCGACCCAACCATGACAAAAGGAAAAAAACCCCAACAAAGCATTCAGCAAGTTTGCCCGCCAACCAAACCAACAGCCATTCCAATCCAAACCAATAACAAACCAACAGAAAATCCAATTTCAATCTCTTAGATTCTCTGCAAATCAGTTGCTCTTCGTTGTTGTTT